TCGAAGGACGGAGGAGCTAAGGAGCTCGTCTTCTCGGTCGAGGGCCCGCCCCCGAGCAGCAGGAGTGCGGCGGCAGGAGGCAAGCCCGGAGAACGCATCCTCGTCCAGGACGCGCGCAACCCCATTCCAGGAGCGAGGCAGGCTTGGTACGAGGAGACCTGGAAGCTGATGGGCGGGTCCGCGGCGATGTTTCGCAGGGCAGTGGATGCGGGCACCAGTGCAGACGCTCTCGCAGCCTGGGCCATCCGGGCAGCCACCCCGCAGTTGGCTGACGCGATGATCGAGGAGGGGTTCGCCCAGCTCGAGTACCGCAGGAGGCGGCAAGAGGAGGCCAAGGCAGGAGTGTGCTCTCTCGCCAGAGAAGAGGAATCGTGGGCCAGGCTTCAGGCCTGGCTGCAGGTTTCCCAACCGCGAAGGGTGTTAGGACAGAAAATAAGCAAACCGCTTGAGACTTCCCCACAGAACGGCCGCGAACGAGACCGTGCAATACCCTTCGGCGGTTCCCCTGAGGGGTGCTGAAATTTGAGCCTTGCCTGAGATATTTTCACAAACTGCTCTTCAAGCGAAAGGTGTCGGGACAGAAATAGGCAAACCGCTTGAGACGTTCCCACAAAACGGCCGCGAACGGGACCATGCAATACCCTTCGGCGGCTCCCTTTAGGGGTGCTGGAATCAGCGCCCCGCCTGAGACATCCTCACAATTTTCTTTCCAAGCGAAGGATGCTGGAACAGAAAATAGGTCAACCGCTTGAGACATCCCCACAAACAGGCCGCGAACGGGACCGTGTCATACTCTTCGGCGGTTCCCTTCGGGGTGCTGAAACCAGCCCCCCACCTGAGACATCCTCACAATTTGCTCTCCAAGCGAAGGATGTTGAGACAGAATTTCAGGCAAACCGTTTGAAACGTCCCCACAAAACGGCCGCGAACGGGACCGTGCAGTGCCCTTCGGCGGTTCCCCTTTAGGGGTGCTGAAACCAGCCCCCCACCTGAGACATCCTCACAATTACACCCTCACAATCTGCTGTGTGTTGAGTAAGTCAGACACTTGGGAAGTCTGGGCATGAATATGTCTGGGTATGGGTGAGTCCCAGCATGAGTAAGTCTGAGTATGAGCCGGTCTGACTATGAGTAAGTAAATGTGGTCAGGTCTGAGTATGAGTATGTATGTGTATGGGTAAGTATGTGTATGAGTACGTCTAGGTATGAGGAGGGGAGGAGGAAGAGGAGGAGGAGGCGTCCAAGTAATAACAAGAACCCCATCTTAGGAAACGGGGAAAACAAATGCGTTAAGGTTTTCTGGCTTGCGGCCTCGAGAACTTCATGGTTCAGTTGGTTAATGGTTTAGGTGTCAACGGCGTCACGGATTGAAAGGGTCGCAGGGTATCCGGGCTTTAGGGCGCGCGGGCTTATGGGCTTTAAGGGTTAAGGAGTTTGCTGGCTCGAAACCTTGAAAAGGTTGAAGGGTTGAATGGTTGGAGGATCTCACGGACTTTTAGGTTTTATGGGCTAAGGATTCAAGGGCTTTGATGGCTCACAGGTTTATCGTCGCCTTTCCATCATCAACACCGCCGCCATCAGCATCAGCATCAGCATCAGCATCAGCATCAGCATCAGCATCATCATCATCATCATCATCATCATCATCATCATCATCATCATCAGCAGCATCATTATCATCATTATCATTGCCATCTTTTGGACATCGTCATCATCGGTGCCACCACCATCACCATCACCACCATGATCATCCAGTCATCCGTCGCAGGCACGCCGCCCTCTACGACGCCTGTGCGGCGACTCTACAAACGCCTGCGTAACGCCTTTAAGACGCCCGTACGACGCTTTGAAAACGCTTCTACGACGCCCTCACGAAGCTCTAAGACGCCCGTGCGACGACTCGAAGACGCCCGTACGACGCCTATAAGACGCCCGTGCGACGCCTCGAAGACGCCTCTGAGCCGGTTGTCAAGACGCCCGTACGACACCGGTACGACGCCTCTAGGACGCCCGTACGACGTCTCTAAGAATACCCGTACGACGCCTCGACGACGCCCGTACAACCTCCCTTAAGACGCCCGTGCGACGCGCCTCTAAGACGCCCGTACGACGCTTCTTAAGACGCCCGTGCGACGCCTGCAAGACGCCCGCACGACGCCTCGAAGACGCCCTCGCGACGCCTCTAAGACGCCCGCGCGACGCCTTTAAAACGCCCATACGACGCCGCTAAGACGCCTCTGGGACGCCCGTACGACGCTTCTGACACGCCCGTGCGACGCCTCTAGGACGCCAGCATGACGCCTCTAAGACGCCCGTGCGACGCTCAGAAAAGGCCCCACTCGACGCATTGACACCCCCGTGCGACGCCCACTAAGACGCCCGTGTGACGCTTCGGAGACGCCCTTACGACGCCTCTAGGACGCCCTCACGACGCCCGCGCGACGTCTCGAAAACGCCCGTACGACGCCTCTAAAACGCCCGCACGACGCTTCGAAGACGTCCGTACGACGCCTCTAAGACGCCCGTGGGGCTTCTCATAGAGGTTGTTTGGAATGTGTTCCTTCGGATTGTTTCGAATGTGTACCAGAGGGGGTTGCAATTTGTATTAAGTTGGTTGGAATTGGAACATTGGTTCTACTTTGACGTAATTTGTCTTATTTTCGGTCGAACACGGCGGGGGCTGAGATGCAAGGGGGGATTCGAACCGGAGAGGGCCCTCCCCTCTCGAGGGGAAGGAGGTGTTCGAACTGGGGGGGGGGGTCCGAATTGCAAAAGGGGGGGGGGGTTCAAACTGGATGGGGGCTCCCCCCTGTCCATTGGGGGGGGGGTTGGAACCCTTGGGGGGGGGAGCCCTCTGTCCAAGGCGGGCGGGTGGAACCGGGGAGGGCCCTCCCCTTCCCAATGGGAGGGAGGTGTTCGAACAAGGGGGGGCCCTGAGTTGCAAGTGGGTGGGGCCCCCCCCTGTCCAGGGGGGGTTCTCACCGTTAAGGGGGGCGCCCTCTGTCCACTGAAGGGTTTTCGAACCGGGGGGGCGGCCTCCCCCCTTCCAGTTGCAGGGGGGGTGCGTTCGAACCGAGGGGTGGGGGGCCCCCGTGAATTGCAAGGGGGGGGTGTTCGACGGCGTGCGCCGGCGCCGGCGGCGTTGGCATCGTTGGGCAGTGACGACGATGGGGGCCCACCTCCACGCAACCGACGACGGCGGGCGCTGGCGCCAGCGCCCGCACCGTCGGGCAGCGACGACGACAACGACGACGACGGCGACGACGACGACGGCGGTGTCGACGACGACGGCGACGACTTGCAACTCAGCGGGGGGGCCCCATGTTCGAACCGCGGTTCGAACACCCCCGCTTGCAACTCAGGGGAAGGTTGGCCCCCCTGGTTCGAAGACCCCCCCATTCCTTGAAAGTCAGGGGGGCCGCCACGCGGGCGGTTCGAGCCCCCCAAGGCCCCCTCCCAAGGTCGGGGGGTGGGCTCGAATAGGGAGGCTGGTGTCCGTGGGGGGAGGGGGGCCAACTTTCTGGGGGCGCTCCATATTTCCTAACCATCCTGTGGTGTTGGGTCCTCGTTCTGAAAAGACAGCGCCCCGCGTCTCCTCTCCTCCTCCTCTTCCCCCTCCTCCCCCTCCTCCCTCCTCCCATCCCTGCCTCTGCTCTCCGCATGCCCATCCCATTCTGGCACACCCCTCACATGGTTCGTGGCCCCATAGGGAGCTGCACTTGTGACTGTTCATTGCGCTTTTCAGGCAAGTGTGCGCGAAACTGCTCTCAAGGGATCGACAAGTACACAAGCAGAAATTTTCAGAGGTCCGCGCGTATTTCTTGGATCGACGCTGGGCCCTCCTCCCTGGCGCTTGGAACGTGCCAGGGGGGGGCGCCGGAGCTCCGCCGGGGGGGGGGCCAGCTCCGATCGGAGAAATCCTCGCGGACCTGCGAAAGGTTACGCTCGTGCAGGTGTGTGCTTCTCTATACTATCAGAAGGGGGCGGAGGATTGGAGGAGGAAGGCGAGGAGACGGGAGAGGACGTGGGTACTACCGTCTGGTCGTGCTCGCTCGCATGCTCCCAGCACTGCACTGCAGCTGATTGCGACGGGCACGCATCACGCTTCTATCCCCTGGCACTGCGCCCCACCCAAGTCGCATACGGATGAGGGGTAGTGGAAGGAGGAGGCGGAGGAGGAGGAGGAGGAGGAGCAGGAGGATAATGGAGATGAGGAGGAAGAACATGAAAAGGTCGAGCAGGAACATGAGAGGAGGGTGAGGAGGACGAGGAGGAGGGGCAGGTCAAAAACACCTTCATCGAGCTTGAGGGCGACAAGGATCGGTGCCGCTTCTATTCATCGCCTCCACCCCTTCTCGTGCGTTGTGGACGTTCTCGTCATCCCGTCTCTTTTGTCTCATCCTCCTTCGCTCCAAATCTCCCTCCCATTCCTTCTCCTTCCCTTCCTCCCTCTACTCCTCCCCTCCCCTCTCCTCCCTTGCTCTCCCTCTCTCCCTCTCTTTACCTCTTGCTGTCTCTCTCTCTCTCTCTGTCTTCAGCCTCTCCCTCTGTGCCTCGAGGGCACATCGTTCCACAGCGTGCCATAATGCGCTGAGCGCGCTCCGGGACGCTCTGGAAGGGCCGCGGCGCCCGATGCAAACTCCAGGCGTGCCCTCTCTCAGGGATCTCATTCCACCGTCTTGTGTCCGCGGTCATGCTCGGGGGCCCTCAAACCGTGCGGTGACCACATCCTGTGGGGAGTCTGTGGGGATCGGGGGTGGCCGCACCGTTTTGGGACTGGGGCCGTTCTCCGAGGATGCCTCGAGCAACCGAGGCCCTCCAGGAGCCCCACGCCGTGCGGTGACGGACCGTGCGGTGACGGATCCTTGGGACTTCGAGGTCACCGCACGATGGTCTGTCCACTGTACCGCCCTGGCGCCCCGAAGCATGCCCGCCGCGTGCCCCCCCCCCCCCCACGCCGCGACCAGCGCCTGCCCCCCGAGGAGCCCGAGCCGAGCCGCATGTGCGTGTCCGAGCCCGCGCCCATCGCCGAGGGCATGGTGCGCCCGCTCCGCCCCCGCCCGGACGTCGCGGCTTCTTCGTAACGTTGACCCCCAGACCTCTCGGCTTGTGCCCGCGGGTTGGTCTTTCATCCTGGGCGGTGTTGCAGAGGGCGCCCTCGAGAAGAGTCGAAGAAGAACAACAGCAGAGCGATACACTGCTGGAGCTCCGCGCTGTACCCTCTCCCTGGCGCGCGGAGCGTGCCAGTGGCTGCGCCGGAGACGCCGCCAGGGGGCCCCAGCGCAGGTCAAAGAAGTCTGCGCGGAGCTCCGAAAGATGATGTTCATTTAGCTTTTTCGTCCTCCAGAGAGGGCCTCGACTTCGTGGGATCTACAGGTTGGCATCGCTTTCCTGGCGGACGGCCCGCGAAAGGCGGCGGAGGCAAGACAGTGGCCGCTCCGCCAGCTGAAGGCCGGCAGATGCCGTCGGAGGCAAGAATCGCCCCCCAAAGAGATGACAACATTTGGGGGCATTTTGGGGGCTCAGGGTCCGGGAGCTGGCCAGATGATCCCAGGGTCCTGAACATTGAGCCGTGGACGCCGCGGATTGTGAGCATTTGGCCGTCTTGGTGTTGTCCGTGCTCCAGGTGCCTGGCGCGGGCGCAGCGGCTGCCATCGCCGCTGCCGCAGCCGCCAGCGCCGCAGCCGCGCTGCTCTCTGGCAGCGCACCCCCGACAGGCGCAGCCCCATGCCGGGCGGCTCCTGCCCGCACGAACCCATTCGGCGGTTCAAAGATGGGGCCCGCAGTGATTGGGTCTTGATGAGGGGGAAGGGGGGCCCCCAGGTTGAACTTGTACACTGTTTGAGGCCCTTCGCCCTTAGGGCTCCACCCCTCAGGGCCCCATCTTTGAGTCGGCGACCGTGCGTCTTCCCAGCGTGCACACTCGCGTGCGTGCATGGCCGCTCTCGTCTGCGCCCTCTGACGGCGCTTTTGCGTTGCGCCTGCCTGAGGGCCCGCTCTCTTCCCGCCTGGCTGTCCGGGGTCTCGGCGCCACATGGTGTGACACAGAGAGAGGAGAGGAACAGAGAACCAGCGTGTGCGTGTGCAACAGGGAGAGGAGAGAGCGAGAGAGAAGAGAGAGAGAGAGAGAGACAGAGACAGAGAGAGGGTACTTGCATACGTGTATGTGTGTGTATGTCCCTCTCTCGTGCTTTTTTTCCGCTCGCTCTCTCGCTCTCTCTCGCTCTCTCCGTTCCTTGGTCTTGGCCTGGATGTCGCCGCCTTCGCCTGTATGGTGTGGCGAGTCTTTCTCGCCCGTTTGACTCGGGTAGCCATCGTGACCGTGAATGTCAAACTTTTGCCGTTCTGGCTCTCGCGTTCCCCGTTTCCATTCTCTATCTCCCTATACATCGCTCTCTGCTTCTCTCTCTCTCTCTCTCTCTCTCTTCTCTCTCTCTTTCTGCGTCCACACGGATTCACATTTGTACCGTAGCACCCCGCAGATGCGGATAAGAGTGAGGAGGCGGTGGGGACGTCGGGATTCTGCGAGACTCTGGAGAAGCCCGCCGCAGGCGCCAAAGCTTCACAAATTATGCAACGAGCCCGCCGCAGGCGCGGATTTTTTGGGTCAACCAATGTGGGTATGTCGCGGGTGGGTCTCAAATGGATCGCGGGTGGGTCGCGGGTGGGTCGCTGTTGGGCCACTTGGCCACCGAACAGCACATGTGTGCTTGTATGCAAGTGTGTATGGACGTGCGTGTGTGTGTGTGTGTGTATGTGTGCGTGTGCTTGAGCGTGTGTGTCTGCGTGTGCGTGTGACCCGCGTCCGCCGCTTTTGCTAACGGCGAACGTTCAGTGGTTTTGTTTGTGGCTTGGCGTTCATCGAGGCTAACGGTTTTTCCTCGCATGGTTGCAGGAGGTCGTCAATTCGTCGCCAGCGAGACCCGTAGCACAGTTTCCGCGTGATTGCACCGCGTCGCTATGTCGGAGGACCAAGTGTTTATGTATGTTTGTGTATAGGGCCGTGTCGTTTGGGTCACCCGTTTTCTAGATTTCAATTTCTGAGTTCTGCCATTGCAGCCAGCTCGTGTGTTCCCCTTGCTCCACTGTGTTATCTCACTGCTGCTTGGTTTGCTTCGCGCCCGCATTGGCGTTTGGTTTCGGCACAGATGCGGGCCGTCTCCATTCACTGCTCCTTTCTGTTGTACATGGCCTCTCCTGTTGTTCACTGGCGGTTTTGTTCTGCGACATGTTTAACTACCAGGCATCATTACGTGGAGTTCGGTTCGTGCCTGTTCCTCTTGCGACCGCTTGAGCTTGCCCCATATCAGCTTTGGCCCCTGGAGACCAGGATTGTGACTAACTAGTACACTTCGGCACATCGATCAACCAGTATCCCGGCAAAGCAACCTAACAGCGATGTGTAGGAGCATATCTGAATGCATTCCCCTTAAGATTCAGATGAGAATCCATTTGCAGAATTCTGTTGTTCTCGCAGTCGTAGTCGCATTCGCGATGACAGTCGCAGTGGCAACGGCAGTCGCAGTCACAGCCTCAGCCTCAGCCTGCCTCAGCCTCAGCCTCAGCCTGCCTCAGCCTCAGCCTGCCTCAGCCTCAGCCTCAGCCTGTTTCAGCCTCAGCATCAGTCTGCCTTCAGCCTCGGCCTCAGCCTCAGCCTGCCTCAGCCTCAGCCTGCATCAGCCTCAGCCTCAGCCTCAGCCTGCCTCAGCATCAGCCTGCCTCAGCCTCAGCCTCAGCCTGCCTCAGCCTCAGCCTCAGCCTGCTTCAGCCTCAGCCTCAGTCTGCCTTCAGCCTCGGCCTCAGCCTCAGCCTGCCTCAGCCTCAGCCTGCATCAGCCTCAGCCTCAGCCTCAGCCTGCCTCAGCATCAGCCTGCCTCAGCCTCAGCCTCAGCCTGCCTCAGCCTCAGCCTCAGCCTGCTTCAGCCTCAGCCTCAGTCTGCCTTCAGCCTCGGCCTCAGCCTCAGCCTGCCTCAGCCTCAGCCTGCATCAGCCTCAGCCTCAGCCTCAGCCTGCCTCAGCATCAGCCTGCAGCCAGCCTCAGCCTGCCTCAGCCTCAGCCTCAGCCTGCTTCAGCCTCAGCCTCAGTCTGCCTTCAGCCTCGGCCTCAGCCTCAGCCTGCCTCAGCCTCAGCCTCAGCCTCAGCCTCAGCCTCAGCCTGCCTCAGCCTCAGCCTGCATCAGCCTCAGCCTCAGCCTGCCTCAGCCTCAGCCTCAGCCTGCTTCAGCCTCAGCCTCAGTCTGCCTTCAGCCTCGCCTCAGCCTCAGCCTGCCTCAGCCTCAGCCTGCCTCAGCCTCAGCCTCAGCCTCAGCCTGCCTCAGCCTGCCTCAGCCTCAGCCTGCCTCAGCCTCAGCCTGCAGCCTCAGCCTCAGCCTCAGCCTCAGCCTCAGCCTGCTTCAGCCTCAGCCTCAGTCTGCCTTCAGCCTCGGCCTCAGCCTCAGCCTGCCTCAGCCTCAGCCTGCAGCCTGCCTCAGCCTCAGCCTCAGCCTCAGCCTGCCTCAGCATCAGCCTGCCTCAGCCTCAGCCTCAGCCTGCCTCAGCCTCAGCCTCAGCCTGCTTCAGCCTCAGCCTCAGTCTGCCTTCAGCCTCGGCCTCAGCCTCAGCCTGCCTCAGCCTCAGCCTGCATCAGCCTCAGCCTCAGCCTCAGCCTGCCTCAGCATCAGCCTGCCTCAGCCTCAGCCTCAGCCTGCCTCAGCCTCTCAGCCTGCGCCTCAGCCTCAGTCTGCCTTCAGCCTCGGCCTCAGCCTCAGCCTGCTTCAGCCTCAGCCTGCCTCAGCCTCAGCATCAGCCTGCCTCAGCATTCAAAATGGTTTTGGGAACTCGAAGAACACGAAGTGGCCTACAGTTGGCTCCGGGCATTCAGCATCATGCCCAGGAATGGAGTTCTGGGAACTCGAAGACCACGAAGTGGCCTACAGTTGGCTCCGGGCAGTGAAAATCATGCCCAGGAATGGAGTTTTGGGAACTCGAAGACCACGAAGTGGCCTACAGTTGGCTCCGGGCATTCAAAATCATGCCCAGGAATGGAGTTCTGGGAACTCGAAGAACACGAAGTGGTCTACAGTTGGCTCCGGGCATTCAAAATCATGCCCAGGAATGGAGTTCTGGTAACTCGGAGACCACGAAGTGCTTTACTGTTTGCTTAAAACGAGTTCCCAGGCATACCCCCAGCATCCTCCCCCGGATCGCATGGTGCTCTCTTTTGACCCTACTAGAAACTTATCAGTCTTCGCTGTCAGGTAACAACCCCATCTCTTCCAACGTCAGATATCTGGGGCGCCAGACTGGCATGAGCGCTGCCTTCCAACATCCACGATGGCTTGAATGTTGCATGTTGCGCAGAAGTTTTAGATGTCCAAGGCGTATTTCGCCTCCTCCCGTGGTGCAGGGACTTATTTTGGCTAGGGGGCGGTGCTGCAAGGCTTTGGCCGAATTCCCCGTGTATGGAGGGAGGTAGTTTTTTTGCAGATTTCGATGGCAATACCCCAGTTTATGTGGGGAGCGATGCAGTGACAGATTGTGCTTCTCGGACGGGGCTGTGCCCGCTGGCGCAATCTCTCCCCTCAGGCGATCCCAGCGGGGAAATAGGCCGTGCGTTACCTCGGGGCCCACTTAGCATAATAATCATGTACTGCGGGATCTTTGATGCCCTGGTGTAGCGTGTCAAAGAGACGGGGATCGGACTGGCATCGATCTTTGTTCGCACCTCCCTGACACAGCTGGATGGGGAATGTGCTGAAGACTGGCTGTTTAAGTGCTTCAGTGGCCCGCGGACGCAGAACTATTAATACATATATATATATATGTATGTATATATATAAGTGTATACATATATATATATATATGTGTGTGTGTGTGTGCGTGTGTGCGTCTTGTGTGTATGCGTGTGCGTGTGCGCCGCTAGCGTGCGTTGCGACCGTGACACACATATCGATCGAGGAGCAGCTGATGCTTCCCCACCCTCTTGGACATGCTGTTGCTCTCGAGCGCCGACCTCGCGACCTCGCCGCAGGTTTGCAAGGGACTGTCACATCGCCCGTCATTGCCACATCACCGGCGGAGGGAAAAGTGCGTGCGCGCGCGAAAGCGCGGCGGCGCGGTCAGGCCAGGTTGCAAGAGGCCTTCCGCAACGGGACGTCGCCGTACATGCCCGGTTGCCTCGGGGGCGCGACCGCACGCGGGATGACGGGGGAATGGGCATTCAGCCCGTGGATGTGAGGACGAGGAGGAGTTAGAGGAGGAGGAGGAGGAGTTAGAGGAAGAGGGGGAGGATCATATCGACGACGGCCAGGGGGGAGAGCAGCGGTGGACGCCGCCGATGCACCCTTGGAGCTGTTGCCACACGAAGGCAGGATAAGCTCGAGCGGCATTGTGTTTGCAGTGGCAGAATCGCAGCGACGACGACGCAGAGGAGGAGAAGGAGAAGGAGGAGAAGGGTTAGGCATCCGAAGGGGGAGGGGGGGACCACAAGGGAGAAGGAGGAAGAGAGGTTGGAAAGGAGCGGATGACTCACCCTGTCAAACAAGGATGGTTCCACAACAGATTTGAGAACCGTCGCGGTGAGCGCAGCGTACCCCATCTCGTGCGCTATATGCTGCGCCATCGCCTTGGCTGGACCTACGAGTTACCCGACCTCTTTGTGCGAAGTGATGTCGCCCTGGTGGGATAGTAGTTTGTGATGTTTTCTTCGCCTCCCCGCCTTTCCCTCTTATCAGTATCCCCCACCTCTCCCACTCCGCCTCTTCTCGGCGGCGAGCCCAGGGGGAAAGTGAGAGGGGGCAGGCTTCTCAGAAGGCGGCGGGGGTTCTGAGAAGCCCTCGCGCCTTCTGAGGAGTTTTCTATGTCGTCGGGGAACGCTTAGAAAACGTCTCAGAGGGGTTGAAACCTGCCGAGCCTTCTGAGAAGGCCCGCCCCATCTCATTCCCCTCCGGGGCTCGCCGCCTTTCTTCTTCGTCCTCTCCCCCGTCTTCTCCCTCGTCTTCAACCCCTTCGTCATTCCCACCCCTCTTCGTCGCCCTCCCTCCCTCGTCTTCATACTTCCCGCCCCTCCCTTTCCTCTCCCCTCTCCCGCCGTCCATCCTCCCTCCCCCCGCCTGCCATTTTCCTCCGCATCCCGGGGACGCCGGCGCATATTTTTTTGGGGTGCCGGCACGCGCCGGGCAGATGGATTTCTACTGGGCGCGCCCAGAAGTTCAAGCAGTGGAGGAGGGGTTTGATTGTCAGGCCTGTATCAAGTAATCTTCGAAGAACCTCTCGTGATTTGCACGAAATGCTCTTACAGAGCATGTCTGACTGAGACAGTCGTGTTTTGATATCAATCGATGCTCTGTTTTAAGAACACTGTTGTTTCTAATTCGTTTGTTCTAGGGACATTTCGTGATATGCATATGGGAATGCCGGGACTGTCAGTCACTGCTCAACAGAAGCGTGGAAACGCGGCTCGACCAGAGGTTGGGAATGCCGCGGGGGCCCATTTCGACATCAACTCGAGCCGGCTCGCTCCGACTCGAATCGGATGTTCTGGATATTCTGACGATGCGATGCGGACCGACGTTTGCATGGCGCTATTGTGCATCCTGGCGCGGCCGATCCGATTCCATTTCGACTCCGTGCCGACGTAGCCTGATCCGACGCACGTTCCGATCCGATCCAATTCTCCGATTCGATGCTGATTGACTCCCCGCATGGGTGATCGCGGCGGTGGTCAGCACAGCGTAGAACCGTTGGTGCACGGAACGGAAATTCTGGCGTCTAGGGACGGCCAATAGTTTCTGCCGGGTTGGATTTGGCGGCGCGTTGGGGGACAGCACATCTTTATACATATATACATCTAGAGAGAGAGAGAGAGGTAGAGAGAAAAAAAAAAAGAGGGAGCGTGATTCCAATGTTGTGCCGCCCGCCCTTCCGCCAACACGAGGCTGCTCATTCCTGCATTTGCAAGAGACCTGATATCGGCTCACATCAGAGTGAGGGAACCGAACGGTATTACTCCAGAGGTGTTGGCTCGACCTCCTTGGGCGGGAGATCTGTTTGGGTGTAGGAATGTCACCCCCCGTTGTCATCCAGTTCCCTCAAGAGGGGATGGCAGCATGATGGATGCATGTGGCACGTCAAAGCATGGCGAGTGAGGGTCAGATGATTGTTGCTGTTGGTTGTCGCCCCCCCCCCCCCCGTGACCCCCGCGCGACCCACCCGCGACCCACGCCGCGACCCACCACGCGACCCACCCCGCCACTCACCCCGCGACCGCCCCGCCACCCACCCCGCGCCCGCCCCCTCAGTCATAGCTGCAATTGAGGGGTTCTTCCCTCTTCTTCTTCTTCTTCTTCCTCCTCTTCTTGCGGCTGCACTTGTCGAGCCAGGGTGGTGCGTCTCTGGGCGCAGCATAAATCCATTCCTTTGGAACTGGCAGAGCGAGCGAACCTTCAGGCGATTTTCACGTTCAAATCTGCTGCTCAAGCGCGCCATCCCATCTCGCCGCGGATGCGTGGACCTGGGCGCGGATGGTGTCGACGGATCGCGCCGCACCACCGATGCATCGGCGATGCGGCTCGATGTGGAGCCCGATGTTCTCCACGCCGACGTCGCCGCTGCATCTTCCACGTCGCCGCTGCATTGGCGATGCGGCGCGATCCTTCGGCCCCATCTACTCGAACCCCATCTGGGAGGCCTCTGCCGAAAGCGCGAACCCCCTCCCGCCGCGGAGGCGTGGACCTGGGCGTGGACCTCGGCCCCCTGCTGGACCTTACGGCCAGCAGCTGCGGTAGCGAGCTCCGGGCCGCCGCCGCGAGCGCGGCGGCGGAGCCCGCCCCCAACCCCACGGGTGCGGCGCTGGAGCAGCAGGCCTTTCGGGCGGCCGGCGGCGGCCGCATGTCTCTTCGATCCAGTTGTGAAACAATCGCGACTGGAGGTTGTTTCTGCTATTGTCGGCCTCTGGGGGGCCCTTACCAGGCCTAGGGTTCTGAGTCGTTTCATGACGGCCCCTAGGCCCTAGGGGCCGTCATGAAACGACTCAGGATGAAAAGCCCGCGGGGCATGGACTTTTCCAATGGGAGCGGTAATCGACCCCTTGAGGGGAAGAGGACTCGACACGTAATCGGAGCGGGGGATGTTGTTGACAGGTGTCTGCGGTGAAATAAAAGATGAAAAGCCGGTCCCGGAGGATGTGTCGAGACTCTGGGGGTCGACCGTCATGGCAACATCATGACTTCGAAGGTTTGGCCTCACATCTCTGAGGATGTTTCTTTCCAATCTGGGCGTCTCTCCTCGATCTCGGCCTCTGGGGGTCGTTGGGCCCAGGGCCATCAGATATACAGTCGAGCATCTACTTTAGAAACCTCCCCCCTAAAAGCTGGGCCAGCGTTTCTTGACCAACTTGCCAGAAAGCTGACCCAGTCTCTTGAGCACGTTAGCCTCTCAAGCGTTGAAAACTGAAAATGGCACCGGTATCTTGTAAGAAACGTCCGGGAAGCTAGCCCAGATCTCCTACATCATAATTTTCTTGTTTGCATTGCCGAACGGCCGTTCAAACGGCGCTCTCGCCTCGGCGCGGCCAGCACGCCGCCAGTCACCTGCACGGTGTGGCCAGCTTAAGACGAGCTGTGAAGAGGGGGCCGGAACCTGTTCTGTTGAATCAAAGGGGGCGCCAGACAACATGGCCGAAGCAAGCGCAAGTTTGACGACAGCCAGAATCGATACGAGGTCTTGCTACCCCTTGGGAAGGGGTCGGGACCTTCGTGGGGCCGCGCATTCAGAACTTCATCCCGTCGGGGGGCTGGGTCGGCGCGCCGGCAGCGTGCCGACGCGGCGCCGGGCGCGGCAAGCGGCCGCGGCGGCGGCCGCGGAGGTGGCCCTGGACCTGACGGCCAGCAGCGCGGCGCCAAGCCCGAGGCGGTTGTCTCAGGCTGCCTCCTGGGGCGCCGAGGGCCTGCTCGTGGTGCCTACCCAGGCCTCCTCGCATCGCAGAGCAATCACGACCGGAGGTTTTCTGCCATGCTTGGCCCTGGGGCCCTCAGTGGGCCTCGGGATCCCCAAGGCACGATTCGGGAGGAAGAGCTGGTCCCCGCGAATGTGTCGAGACCTCCAGAGGTCCGCGTTGCGGAAAAATCACGACGTCGGGGGTCTGGGTAACCACCCCTGCTTCAAGGGGGGGCGGATGGGCGGGAACGCAGATTCTGCCACCGCCTTGTGGTGGTCATCGCATGGTGGTGGCCACCGCGTAGAGAGGGTCACCGAAGCCCCGAGCATATCAGAATGCGCCCCGACCACGACGCCGACGACGACGCCGACGCCGACGACGACGACGACGACGACGACGTCGACTACGAAGACGGAGGAAACGAGGTGCGCTTACGGTCCGCACCGACGCCCGAATTTGGGGGGTCCCACCCTGCGAGGTCTGGTACACAACACATCGTCACATCTCTTCCCATCCGTCCCCTTTTATCCTTGTTCCTCCTCCGTTCCCTTTCTTCTCTCCCTTCCTCCCTCGCTCTCCCTTCCCTCTCCCACCCAACGCTCCCTCCTCTCTCCCGCCCTCCTCATTCCGCTCCACGTCCCCTCTACGGTTTCGCCCTCCCGCCTGGCTTCCTCTCCATCGTCCTGGCGCCCCCCTCGAGGATTACACATCATCAGTACTACGCTCCTCGCTTTCTTTTCTGACCCCATCCAAAAGATCGCCTTCTCTCTCTCTCTCTCTCTCTCTCCACGCAATGTATTCGACATACGCAATCTGACAGAAGGAGTGTTCATTATGATTGTTCTGCAATCCTATTGCAGTTGTGTTTCACACGGGCGCTCCCGCTGCAAAGTGAGCCTCATTTTCGGATCGGCGCTTGAGTCACCTCCTTTTCCTTTTCCTCCTGCTCATCCCCCTGCTCACCCGCCAATTCCTCCTCCTCCTCCTCCTCCTGTTCCTCCTCCTCCTCCTCCTCTTCCGTAGCTGCCATCAGGGCCTAAGATATTGTCAGGGCAGCCCAGACCGCCACCATGATATTCCTCAGTCCGAGCGGACAGAAGGGGTGACGGCCCGCATGATGGCGGCTCTCACAGCGTCTCTCGCAGTGCTCCTCTTCAACCCGCTCACGGCAAAGTCCGACAGGCTGGCAGAGATATACGAGGAGGCTCAACATTTTGACATAATCGTGCTGACTGGGACCTCCCGCAGAAGACGCGACCCCAGCATCACGCAGCACCGCAGCGCCGACACCCGCTTTTACGAAGCAGGATGGCGGCCCGGCGACCAGACCAACCGCAGCACGGGCATCATCATAGCTATGCAGGGTCGACTGCGGGGCGCCAAGGTGACAGAACTACACGAACCACCACAGGAACTCAGCGGAAGAGGACTCGCGATAACAATGCAGCACCACGACCAGACAATACTGATCAGCGGCTACTACTGCCCCCCGCAGCCCACCAAGGGCAAGACGTCGCGCAAGGACTACTATGCAACGACCAGCCGCTTGTTCGCTTGGATAGAGGACATCAGCCAGAGGAAGCATCGCAATACGATGCTCATCGCCGCAGGCGACCTCAACGACGGAGTGGGCATCACGGGCAAGGGCGACAGACCAGAGACAGCAGCATTGGGAGAAGGGCGATCACCAGAACGATTACCAGGAGGCGCAGGGCAGAGAGCGCGGAATTACGCGGACCGCCACCAACTCAGCATAGTGAATACCATCGGCAGCTGGCGGCCCACGTACTTCGGCGAGAAACATGTAAGCTGCATAGACTATATCATGATACCGCAGAGCATGACGGCAACGATGATTTCACAAGGACCTCTACTTCACATGGGAGCACGCCTTCAACACATTCGTTGCCGAGCACGACGGGACCACGTTCCAGTGCACGTGACGTTTCGCCTACCACTACGACAACGAGTACAACATCGACCCCAGATACCCCAGTGGGACAAGGACAGCTTGGCCCACGCTGTGCGACACGGGCTTCACAGAGGGGAGTTTATCGAGCAGGTGGAACGGACCATGCAAGATTACGACCCAGCAGGCAAAGGAGTGGACCAGCTCTTCTGGGACATCAACACCATGCTCATCGAGAAGGCGCAGAGGTTCTACAGCAAGGCACCGACGCCGACGGACGAGTACGAGGAACTACGCCGTGAACGCATGCAACCCCTCCGAGATCGCAGAGCAGCCAGAGCTGAACTTCATGACCTCCGCGCAGGAACTACAGGGGCTGATCGCACGCCTGCGACCGCAACGTCGCCACCCCAGTTTTGCACGGACGAGCTCGAATCCAGGGACTCTCCCGCGACGGCGACCCAGGACCAGGGAAGCACAGAAGGAAACCCATACGCCGAAGAGGAACCAACGCCGCTCACCGAGATGGAACAGCGCATGCGCAGGATATAGACGCAGCTTCGAGACGTCACTCGGGCCTGTCAACTACAACGACGACAGGCGCAGCAACGCCGTGCCGACCTTCGCGTGGAGGAGATGTACGAGGCGTGGGAACAACGCGACCTAGCACGGGTCGGACGACCTTCCCGTCTGATTGCAGGAGGACGGTACGGGCCACGCAAGAGGGACTACTGGACGGCGACGACGGCAAACCCAACCAAACAGGAGTGGATAGAGTTCTGGCAACTTCCGGGAGGCTCTGGAAGCATGGAGGGGACCGAGGAGGACACGCAACACCTGGGGGCCATTCCACACCACGCGGAGGAACAGGACTACTACGAGAACGACTTAGAGGAGAAGATCGAGGAGGATTACAAAGAGATCGCGAAGTGCCTCAAACGCGCGCGCCTACGACGAGCAGCACCACCTACAGCGGCACCAGCAGAAGTATGGCGACTACTGCCCTGCCCGCCAGACTAAGACCGACAACCGCGCCAACGACGCGGACTCGGACACCAAGCATGCGACGGAGAGCCGGTCTATTTCAAGCTCTTATCAAGGCGGCACTGGCAGCGATACGCATTAGCAACGTTGCACCAGTGCGCTATCATCAGAGCGCGGCGACAGCAGTCAAGAAGAACACGAAGAAGGGCCCTGCAGGCAGGAGGATCTACCACATCATGGGCCCGATCGGCAAGGCGTACTACGCGGCGGCGCTACGCCGATAGCAGAAGCGCACCCACACCGACCAGGACTATCGCTTCATCAAGGGCAGACGAAGAGAAGGCGCGATCCTCACCATTGCGGTCATCGAGTACAGAGCACGAATTGCGGGCTACAACTACGCGTCCACGATGAAGGATATGCCCAACGCGTTCGCCAGCTGCAAATGGATCACCATGGACGCGGCGAACAGCAATATCCTGCCGACCGACCTGTGGGATCTGGGCGAACAGAGATACCGCCGAGCAACCTTCATCGTAGACTGCAGAGACGACGAGCAGGGCGTGTGCATCAAGCCACATTGCGGCGGCCTCATCGGCGACCCGTGCATGGCACGCAACTTCGTGGCCAGCTTCGCGCCCTGCATCGAGCGCTGGACTAAGGACTGCGACGAGGAGATCACACACGACAAGCTGCCCTATGGCACGAACGAACTATTTCAACACCCTGTCTACGTTGGCTTGACCAAGTACGCGGACGACACGCGCAAGCTCATCTTATGCGGGAAGCAAGCAGACGCCCCATCCCTCGTCGACCGAGCATTGAACGTGCGCCTCATAGAGATCGGCCTCAAACAGAACCAGGACAAGCAGGATGCGACTGTTTACTTCCAGGGCTCGGGTGCCAGCCAGGCACATCGACTACTCAAGCAGGACCCGCAGTGCAAACTTCCTGGCAAGGCGGCGGCGGCGGCGAGGCACCTGGGCCCACAGGTCACAGCGACACAACAATATTACCCAGAACTGCAGAAACGCATCCAGGCCATGAAGGAGAGCTACTACGAGCGTGGCAAGTTCTGGACCAAGCGCGAGATCCCGTACAGGTGGAAGCGCGCCGTCCTCATATGCAGGGTCATCAACACGGGGCTCTCACGCATCGAGTGCTACCTGCCGACGCCCAACGAGTACCAGATACTTCAAAGTGCAATTGGAGCACTGCTGAGGAGGGCGATGGCAGGCAGGGCGAGCACGCGCCACGAGGGCGGCACAGCGCGCAGCATGATTACGCTGGAGGTTTTTTCGCCACTGGCAGACCCTGCCACCAGCGGAGGAAGCCGTGGTCTGAAGGCTCGGCTCGGCTCGGCTGGACAACCATCGCCAACTCATCGCCGCCCTGCTCGGGCCCTTCGAATTCGAGACGAATGCCGACGAGACCACGAACGGGCTGACGACGCATGCGAACCCCTGGGCCCGTCGCATCGAGGAGGACGCGGTGAAAAGCCTGCCAAGTACCGGAGAACTCCAGAACCATCTTCGGGGAGGAGGATGTCGAGACAGGTAAGATGTTCTCGCTCGAGGTCAGAGAACAACTACACCTTTTAGACGTACGAGAAGTCAGAGCAGCTAAACTGACAGTAGCAGTTCCCCCACCAGGACAGGCCCCAAACGATGAGCTCCGAGAAGATCTGGCCCTCCAGGACCTCCAACCGTGGAATTGCCCTCTCAGGGATAGTCTAGGGGAGTGCGGACTCCTGTTCGCCAGCAAGAAGGCGCTGCGCAGCCATATCATTCGAAATCATCACGTACACAATTTAGCCGCTCTGTTGACGACTAACAACGGGTGCATCAATTGCTACCAGTGCTTCACTAGCCGAGGGACCGCTTGGAAACATACGGCGAGGAGTATGATTACAGGAAGCTGCAATTCAGATAGGACACGAAATCAATGCCAGCCGACAAAACCGAGCACGACATGCCCTCTCTGCAGCCATCTCTTCTTAGACAAGGGCACGTTCTACTCCCACCTATGTGGTCATTTACTTAGACAGCTACTCCGACCGCGAGCACGGAATGGCGCTCGCCGACCAGCGCCCAGCAGGGGCGCCCGCGGCGACGGCAGGAAGGCCACCGAGCCCCGACCGCAGCCGCCAGCCGAGACGCCTCGTAGGAGGAGCAGCTCAAGAAGGAGGACCAGGAGGAACATCGGAGGCGCCCAACCAGCAGGCAGTCGACATCACCGCGCGCCCCACCCAGACGCTGACGCGCGAGCAGGCCGAGCTGGGAAGCCACCACATCGACGATCGGACAGAGGTGGTGAACTACATGGACCGCACCCTTTAGCCAGACGCGGAGCACGACCACTGGGACCATTGGGAGAATTTAGTACCAGGACACCATCTCGAATGGCAACGCGGAGACGGTGAACGACGGCATCCCGATCACCAGGGTGCGCAAGGGCAAGGAGGGCGGAGTGAACGAGAAGTGCAGCAATATCCAGTCCCAGGTGAAGCTGACGAACCCGCAACTGGAGCCCCCCCTCGCGCGGGTGCCACGCAAAGAAGGAACGGTGCGCAACATCGGATCGGCGCCGAGGGGAGTGCTGGAGAGGGAGACGAAGCGCCTGATCAACGGCTGAGAACCGCGCAGCTCTGTCCAGTGCCTACCAGCGCAAAGCACAGGCGATCCCGAAGGCGTTCAGAGGCAGCGAGCGTTTTAGAATGTTGGTTAGGGAAGGTCTCCTCCCCCCTCCTCCTCCGACGTCTGAGGCTCCCGGCCTTTTCCGACTCCGAGGCCAGAGTTTCCCAGAGTATGTTGTTGCGCACCGATCTCCCCCCCCCCCCCCCGAACCGAAGCGAAAGGGTAGGGGCAGAGGAGGCCGGGGCAGGGGGGTAGAGGGGCAAGCGAGAGGGAATTCGTAAATGCGGGTGCTACCCTGCCCTCGGACCCCTGCGTGGGGCAGGTCGGTGCAGGTAGGGCCCGAGCGTCTCAGCTGACGCCAGCGACCCCCTTTCGGCAAAGTGATCTCAGCTAGGCCACCAGATTTTGCAATGCCACGCAAGCCCGAGGGAGCGTAGCACCGAACTGGCCCGAGAGCTCGATCGATCGATCCTCTTCGGTAGCCATTCTGGCTCAAGGCTACACGGAGAACGCTAAAGTGATACAGCTGACTCCGATTAGCTCTGGGAAACTTCCGTCCTCATTCTCGAGCGGCGGGGCCAGGGGTTCGAGACCTCACCAGCTCTCGGGCCCCCCGGGCTCTTACACGCGCCTGCCACTACCAGAGGGCTAGCAGGCGGCCCGGATATTTCTCACCTATCAGTGCATGCGATGGAGTCTGCTGCTGGTCGTGGCGTAGGCGGCGGCGGCAGAGACCCCTCATCGGATCGGAGATCCAGCTCGCCCGGGGCACGGGGCACATCTCGCAGCAACCCCCGCGAACGACGCAAGGACCGCCGGCGCGACCGACGCGATCGATCTGATCGAGCAGCAGACGTTGCTGACGAACTCCGCCGCCGACCTGCCCACGAAGCCCATCCGCGCTCATCCGCGCCACGGGCGACGGCAACAGCCACCTCAGCAAGGTCAACCTCAGCACTTCTTCATGGGAGACGCTCCACTGCAGGAACTGCCACAGCCACCTCCTGACGCCTGGGCTGAAGCTGCAAGAACTGCTGGACTACCCTCTCCAGCTGCTGGCGCCCCCGGTGGATGGGCCCCCTCCAAGCTCGAGAGGTACGCCAAATCCTGGCGGAAATGGTGGCACCGCAAGCGAGACCTTGGAGCAGCGTCTCTCACGGGTCATCGGCGCCCAGTTCAACAGCATCCAGCACGACATGCAGCAGCACATCACGGCCTCGATGTCCGCCGCGATGGCCCACGCGCAGCAGGAGCTCGTCTCGTCCATGCAGATTCAGCTGGCTCCGACGGTTGCGCGACTCACGGCCGCGCAGGCCGACGCCAGGCGCCAGCAGGACCGCACCGAAGCCCTCGAAGCACAACATCAGCAATTACGGCGCCAGGTCTAGCAGATGCAGCAGTCCTTGTCCATCGCCGAGGCGGCCAGCAGCTCGGAAGCCATCGACGTGGCCAGGCTCGCGACTTGGGACAGGCCGACCAACCCGCAGCTCTTCAGCGTCAATGGAAGGTCTCCCAGACTGGTTCGATCTTGCCCATGTTCGCAATGATACTGTTCAGATCATCGGCCCTGACGCCCCAGGCAAGAAGTTTGCCCTTCACTGCCCAGGTGCTGAAGCAGGAGTCCTTCGTGCTCAGGCTCTCACTCGCGCTCTCCGTGATTCCATGGTCAGTGCCGCAAGTTCTCGGCTGAGGGAGTGGACGGACACGAAACTCATATATATATATATATACATATATATACATCGGTGCTGGTCGACATCCGAAGCAGATCCGGAAAGAAGTACAAACCAAATATCTCAAAGAGATATTACAGCGCATGGCCCCAAATTGCGAATGGTGGGCTAAACGACAGTTGGGCTTGGTCTATGGTGCAGGTGCCGCCGTGGTGGAGGTCATTCCTGGAGCTGCTCCGAACGATCCCACAAAGCTCGCTTGGAATCCGCAGCCCACCGCCACCTGCAACATCGACAAAGACGCCGCATTGCAAGCATTCCGCAATATGTTCCGGGAGGTGGACACCTCCACGTGGTCATGTTCCTGATGACCGCTGGCGTTCATGGGAACTTGAGCCTGGGGGGCAGCAGGTTCAAATCGTAACATGGGACGCCTCAGCCTGACTCTGCCGTGGTGCTGCCCGTCGAAGAAAGAAGGTATCCAAATTGATCGCCCACATGAAGCATCGTGCCATCATTTGTCTCCAAGAGGTGCATGGGGCGCACGAGACGCTCACCAACTACATCCACCAGTACCCGTACGAGTACCAGATCTTCACCACCATGGGCGAGACGCCTGGAGTCGGCGGCGTGGCGATTCTAGTGCCCGGGCATTCTCTTCAACAGCTGGCTCTCCACCCGGTTGAACACCACCCTGTGTTCGACCACCAGGTTCTGGCACAGGGCCACTGCGTCTCGATATTCAACCCAAAGTGGCAGAGCAGCGTGCGCATTATGAACATCCACAACCACGAACTCGACCACAACCAGCGCAGTCGAATTCGTACCTGTTGGAATGGCAACGCAGCGTGGGCCAGGGGCGATGAGCTCAAGCGACTGGCAGTCGCGATTGGGGACTTCAACGTTTCCGACCAGCCGGGCGACTCGCTCCTCTTCCCTGAGGCCCGGCAGGCCCGTCTTTCTCAGGCCGGGCTTGGCGAATGCCACGAGGCGTTTTGGCGAGCTTCGCTTGCAGGGCAGATGACGGAGATTGCGACCGATCTCCCCGCCCACTTTTCCCGCTCCTCCTCCTCGCTTTCTACGATTGACCGCGCCTTCGTCTCCCTCTCCTCCCACTTCCTCCTCGAGACCGAGGCGACCCTTGACCTGCTGCAGGACGCCCCGAAGCTTTCCGACTTGCATCATCTTAGCGATCACGTGATCCCCTCGCTCACTTTGAAGCCGCGCGGCGGCGCCCCGAAAGACCAGCAGGGCATCCCGCGGTTTATATTTCAGCATCCCAGGTTTTGCGAGGTGCTTAAACATTGCTTGGCTGGCTTCGATCTTGACTCCCTCTCTCCCCCCGCTGCCTGGTCCTCCTTCCAGGATAAAATGATAGTGGCCGCCGCAGTTGTCCGTCGCGAGGTCCAGCGCTTCCCAGACGGGGTAGGGCCACGCCATCGAGGCAAGGTGCACGGCACTCCGTTCAATCGCACGTGTTATTTGGCGACAGGACCTCCAAGCCGCTACCAGGATCCAGGCAGACTCTGAGTATGGTAGGCGGTTTCTCCTGTTGGGAAGCCCTCGAGCTTCGCTCCAGGACGAGGATGGTTTTTAGAGTGAGGCCGTCGCCCAGAATACTGCTCGCCTCCACCGGCTCCAGGAACAGGCCGCGGCTAGGGCCCGGACCAATCTTGGAGAAATTCAGCATTGGGGGAAAGTCCCGGAGATTTCCAGTAGGAGAGCGTTGCTTTGGCGGCCTCGTCAGCGACGTCTTCTTCTTCGAGGCATTCAGATCTCTTAGACAGGCCACCAAAGCGACGTAGTCAGGGAGCCAGGTCCGATAGCGGGCGCTCTCAAGAAGCACCGGCAACCCGTTTTTTCGGAGCAGCCCAGACCGCGCAAGAGATCGAATATTTTCTTGACGAGCACATGCCTGACATTCGTGCCTATGAGTTTCACGTTCCCACCTCTGCTGACATGGCCAGGTGTTTGAATCGGCCGCGTGACTCTGCGCCTGGCCCGGACCGACTCACATATGCAGCGTGGAAGAGCCATCCCAGATGTCTCGCTGTACTCTGCCGCCTCTTCCTCTACCTCGTGGGCGGCGACCCCGCCCCTCCCGGCCTCAACCGCAGTCTCTTTGCATGTATCCCGAAAGGGGGGGGGACCAGGGATGTCACAGACTGCGCCCGAGCTCCAGGTGTCCTCAGACCTCTGACCCTCAAGAATTCGACAGCAAGCTCCTCGCGTCTGCGCTGAATCACCAGTTGCAGCATTGCGTAGCGGGCCGGACCCACGTGGTCCAACAGGGATTTGTCAAAGGACGCAATCTAGCTTATAATGTGATTCGAATGGGCACGGCTGCTCGCCGTGCTAGCGTAGTCAACGCCGACACCGATCCGCTCTTTTTAAGCTTCGATCTCAATGAGCCAAACCTGGCTCCGACTTGTGCTGGAGAGGTGCCGCCTACCCCAGAGCTTCTCGTGGGCGATCGCTGCTCTGGCAGCCGACTCGCTGGCGCATATGTTGGTTGGATCTGTGGTCGTGCCCATGTTTTTGATCACTGCAGGCGTTCCCGCGTTCCCCAGGGGTGCCCCCTCTCTGGCTCCCTCTGGGCCCTCGGGTTTGACCCCTTCCTCCGTCTCCTCGCCCTCCCCTTCCCCTCCAGAGAGCAAGCCGCCCTGGGGGCGTGTGCCGACGATGCGGGAGTTGTGCTCAATCAGATATCGATGTTGCCACTGTTGCACGCGACCTTTCAGTTCGCTCAACGTCTCGCCGGGCTAGCCCTTCAGCTGGCGAAGTGCGTTGCCGTGCCGCTTGCCGTCGCCTGCACAGCAGTTGGTGCCGGAGTGGGCGGGCTTCCACATCGCGAGTTGGGCCAAATATTTAGGGGCCCTCACCGGCCCTGGGGCCGACATCCGCGAGCAGTGGAAGGAGGCTGGCCAAGAGTGGTGGGCGCGGTCACGAGCGATTGCCTTGACTCGAGCCCCGAGCGAGGCTGCCATGCGCCTGTATGGGTGCACGTGCTTACCAGTCTTAGGTTATATCTCGCAGTTTTTCCCGCTTTGCCAGGAAGTCACACGCAGGGAATATTTTGCCCTCCACAAGCTCCTCCATCTTCCACCCAGCTCTTTCTCTCTGCACGATTTCTTTGGGTTGAGAAGCTGGCTCCGCCCCTCCACCCCTACCGGCGTGCAGGTGTATGCATTGGGATGCGCATGGCGTGCGTCCACGCACGCTCTGACTAATTGGGCAGGGGACTTTGAGTGGTGGTGGGGCGGGTCGGACGCGCACGGCTTTCACATGAGAGTGCGGCAAGGTCTCCTCTCAGCGGACTGCTGGGCCGAAGGTTCAGGAATCCTGCAGCACAATAGAAAGTTCGTCCGCGGCTGCCGCGGCCTCCCTGTTCCTGCGAGTCGCATAAGAGGCGATCGCTGCAGCCAGCCCCAGAGCTGAAGGCACCCGGATGGAAAAAGAGGCGGGGCGTCTTCGTCAGCGTCGTGGGAGCAGGGTGCCTTCATCACTAAACTAACTAGTCGAATGCACCCGGATCGTTTCCACGAGCTTCTGTCCAGAAGACTCCGCACATGGTTCCCAAATTTGGACCCCCTGCCCGAGGGCGAGATCAAAGCCAGGTGGCTATGTCTCCGGCAGGTTTTGGCAAGATCGCAACCCAGTAAAGTTTGGTATCATCTTAAGACTCTGGCTGGAGGGTGGATCACCAGCCACAGAGTCAAGATCCCCACCCCTTTACAGTGCCGATTTGGCTGCCCCGACTGCCCCGACTCGTTCCTCCACTACCTCTCCTGCCCCCGCCTGCTACACCTCATCGCGCTGCCCCGTCTGCATATCCCGACTGCTCCTCCGCTCCCTTGGCTCGGCTTGGGATCCGATGAGGAATGCCAAGACACCGATCTCACGGTGGCCCTTGCACATGACTTAGTGAGTCTCGCTTACAGCATATTCCATGGACTTCGTGCCGAGCTAGCTGACGCCCCGCAGCCGCTCGGCAGCTACGCGCAACACCTTTCAATCCGCCATGCGGCGCTCACGAGGCAGCAACCCAGGGCTCGCCTATGGACGTTCGCTCCTCCTCCCCCCCCCCCCCTCCCCCCCTCCTCCTCCGTGGCCAGTTTGGCTCAAGATGTTTTGTTCCACGGGGGAACACGAGGAACGCGATGTTCTGTTCCAGTGCCAGGGCTGCTCAGCCCGACAGTTTTGACGAAGGGTGGCCCGCCCCGCTCTCTCGAGTCTGCGAGTTTTTCGCCATGGCACCGAAGGCTCAGCCAGGCTTCGTCATCTGGAACTTCCGCAACAACACACACTGCTGGACGCGCGGCCAATCCCTCGAGCTCATGCCTGCCAACCCGTCGGCACGCAATGGTGCATGGGCGGGCAATGAGGCAGGGGGGCAGCGCCGAAGGCCAGCCCTGAGGCCAAGGCCGCAGCGGCGGGCGGAAGCCCCAAGGCCAAGGCCGCAGCGGCGGGCAGGGCCGCCGATGGCCGCCGCGGCTTTCCTGGTGCCCCCTGGTCGCCGGCTGGGTCTTCGGAGCTCGACAAGCTTCTTGCCATCCCCGACCCGACCATCGCGGCCAAGCTTCGGGAGGCGGCTGCGGAGGCCCGTGACTTCGCCCCGCCGCCGCCTGCAGCAGCCCCGCGGACCCTGGAGCAGCAGCTGCAGTGGGCCACATATGGCCGCATCAACCTCCAGCGCCAGCTCGATGAGGCTGCCGACGCCCTGGTCGCGGCAGAGGAGCAGCTGGGCGAGTGCCGTGGCTGGCGCGACACCTGCGCTGCCAGCCTGGCGGAGGCCCAGGCAGAGGAGGCCAAGCTCCTGCGCAGTCGGGCCCAGGCCTCTGGCATCACGCCGCCGACTCCTGATGACTCGAAGTCGGCCACCTTCACCTTCGACGCGGAGTCGCTCGAGAACTTCAGCGAGCTTGGGGAGGAAGCCGAGACCAACCTCCGCCAGATGTTCGAGGAGGGAGGGCCACGCTGGAGGCCCAGGCGGTTTTCGAGCGCAACTGCCAGGAGC